GGGATTCCGGGCTGAAGCCTCTACCCCTTCCCCTCTCCCAAGTGGTAAAATATAACCATGTCTTATGAAATTAATATTAAAATATTATCTCTAAAAGTACTATAGTTCATGTAATTATATTAAGTAGGACTTCAAGAATAACTTAAACTCCATTTTGTAATGGTAGTTAGTTTCTTTCTTCTTCTTCTAAAGTAATAATCCTTGCATATATTTTTTAAGAAACCTTTCGGGTTGAAGCTTCCTCCCCAAAAATCAATTCCTATTTCCGCTAGTGGGTGGGCGTGATTTGAATGCCTTCCAAGCTTTGGGATCTTAAAAAATGTTCCAAGTCGCAGAGAAAGAGTAAACAGGAACGGGCTTGTTACCTCCCCTGAAGAAGGCCGCAACTGGTATTGGTTTTTTCTATATCCAGTAAACAAATCGTCTGCGAAACCATGATTATTTCTAAAATCTGATTGCATCTCCGGTATGCAATTAACTTCTTGGTCTCACATAGTCATACGCTTTAGTAAATCTGAAAAAAAAATTGTTTGTGACATAGTTAATTAACGAAGTCAGGAGAAAATTTTCCGGATTTAAATTACAATATACTTCCGCTTAACCGGCGGTAGCGGTAAAAGAAAAAAACGAATTTTTAACAATCTTAAAAGAACATATAACTTCCTGAGATTCTCAACCACCAGTTATAAATTTAATTTTTGTTTCGTTGCGGTTAGATAGATTTTAAATTGATTGAAATTTAGAAAAAAAGGCTTCTTTTAATTTTTGTTTACAATTGACCGAACCTCAATATAACAAATCTATTCGAATCATGGTTGATAAATATTCAGGACGCAATCATTATGAAGTTTTTATTGGTGCCGATGTTTCAACTCAAACATGTGGATCATCAGGGTGTTTCGAGTCACTACTTGAATACCTTTTGTGCTCGAAACACACCCTGATGATGACCCACATGTTTGGGTTGAAACGTCGGCACTATTAAAAACTTTATTATGACTGCCTCCTAAATATTTATCACCCATGAAATGTAGAACAGTCGACTAACTTCCTTTAATAAATTTATTCGAAGTAAAATTGATTCTTGAAACAAAATCCTTATGCTTCATTTATTTCATATAAAATTAAAAAAGAAATAAAGAAAAAATGTTGTGGAATTACTGACGCCAGTGCGGTAACTTCCTATATTACAGACGCACAGTGGGACCGATCGCCGATCTAGGATGATAAAAACAACTTTTAAAACATGAGAAACGTAATATAGCATCTTTTCTGTAAATAGTTGGCTAAATAAAAAGTGTCCTGGTAAAATTTCGAAGTTCATTTAAACTCTCATTGTAGGGTACAGAATAGTGAGGTTTGAGCAAGCAGGCCTTCAGTCCCACCAGGTGACAAATAACTCCAGCATTACTTTATTTATAGTTCAAATCAGTGACTATGAGTGTTATTGCTTAAGAATACTTTTGATAATTCAGTTAAATAGCTTTATTTTTTACTGGATTATTTTAGATACAACCAGTTTGATGTTGGTTACACTAGTATTTGAAAATGGCTGTGATCATACCTTTGAAATACATGAACAACACTTATTTAGTCTATAAAATACCATTTTTTAAATATTTTTTCATGAAATAACCATCGAATTTTGCACTAAGGCCTGTTTTTTTTTTTTTATTGTTTCAGAAAACGTAAATGGAAGTTCTGTGCTCATTATCATTTTTTTTTTTTCATCTTATGAAAACGTTATGAATTATATAATAAAACGTACATAAGTTTGAAAGAAAGTGTAGCCCTATTTTCATATAAAACTAATGAGCGTTGGAAAAATTCTCAGAAAATATATATATATAAATATATTTTAGAAAAATATGTTATAGTTAAATCATATTTTCAAGTCCTGATGACAACTATCAGTCTTCTCCAGGTTTCGAGGGAACAGACAGTTAAAAAAAAACAAAATGGTTTTGCTTGAATAATCTGTATTACTCAAAAGATTTAAGAATGTTTTTCAATAAAAAGTTCTTTTTTAATCTAAAAAAAAAAGAAGAAGATGAAAAGAATCAACCCAAGTATTTATCATAAGAATCGATTCATTACAATGATTGATTCATTGAAAATCGATTCAGTTAAAAGAATCAAATTTCCCATCTCTGGTATATATGGGTTCAAACATGTAAAATTGCTAACCTGGGTCACCAAGCAAAAACTTTTTTCAGCCAAAAGAGCGATTTCTTCAATTTTTTTTTTCACACATAACTCCTAACAGTGCATCAAAGTGGAAAAAGCACTCTTAAGAAATTAAATAACATTAAATTGTGTGTCAAATGAATATCTAAACTTGATAATTTGGATAAGTAATATGGTAAAAAACAACGGTAATCGAACGCTGATTTTTACCAAATTGAACAAAAGCTGAGACAAATTACTATAAATATAATTGTCCCGCAGCTTGGAAATGACTTCCCTAAGGGAAAAACTCATATAATAAAAGTTGTAGAGCATTGAATTCCATATCCACTGAGTATCAATTTTTAATGTATGTCACTTACTCCACTCAAAATGAGTAAGTAATCTCCTGATGGCTAAAAGTTATGAAAGTACATGTGACTTTTAATATTTCAACAGTATGGGTGTCCGTCTAAACTGTACTATACATATGCTTATATACTACATACTTATATATACACACATTATATATATATATATATATATATATATATATATATATATATAATAGTATGATTATATATATATATTATATATAATATATACTAGGGGAGTCATTTCCAAGCTGCAGAGCCATTTATAGTAACTTGTGTCTGTTTTTGACAAATTACGTAAAAATCAGTGTTAATTGACTGTGGCTTAATACTATACCACTTAACCAAATTATTATATTTAGTTACTCATAAGGTATTATATGTGAAAAAACAATAAAGAATTGAAAAAAAAAACTTTTTTTTCACCAAGCTTTCCCTTGGTGACCCACCCTAGCAATTTTACATGTTTGAACACATATATACATGTTAAAAATATAAAAACTTCCCACATTTTTCACAATATATTTCCCATTTTGATCTTCATGTTACTGGCCTAATGTTCTTTAAATCAGCCGCCATTTTTTAAAGCAGCAGCTCTAATGGCATATGAGATTTATTTTACTTAGAACAACACACTTTCGTAATTTACATTCAAAAATTCGCCTGCGATGAGGTCACTTTTTGGACCCTGGCTCCAGATCCAAGGCTATAAAGGATAAGTAAGTTTAGCTCCCACAAAATATTTGGTGAATTATGCAACTAATATGTTCCCAAAAAACACAAAACTTTTTGCAAGTAGATTTTGAAAAAGTTGTACATTTGTGAATATACAATTGTACAAAACCATCATAACATAAAATAAAAATAAATGTATGACTGTCAATAAATATCTAAAACAAAATATTATGCAGTTAGTCAAAACCAGGAAATGCTCAAAAGAGATGTAGATGGAAAAGACAGGACTGCGAGACTTGACTAGAGGAAGTTACTTGAACTAGTTAAGAGGTAAACAGACTAAAAAGTCGTTGAATCATGGAACTGCGTAACTGTTTATTAATGGCAAAAGGTTTCCTATAAGAAGTTTAAATGATTAAATGAATGTATTTTAAATATTCAACTAACGAAAGAAAATATAATTTGAAAATCTTATAAGTCTCAGATTTAATGAAACAAAATCATATTTTACATTCCTTAATAGAAACATATATATGCTTTTAAAGTGAACTTAATATGAAAATATTTTTTTCTTTGTTTTATTACTTTGACAACCATATATTTCTTAAACTATAAATAATAGGAAAACAAAATAATAAGAATATTCTTATACAAAATAAAATGTTTTTAATTTTTCAACTGGAATGTTTTAAGTTATGACCAGCCGTTTGTGAGATATAAAAGAAAATCATGACTTTCCCCCCAACTCCTCTCTTTTCTTGTTCTGAAATCACAGGATTTAACCCCTTAATTATTCCCAAAGTCAATTCAGCATTAATCGAAGCTCTGAAGTCAATTCTGGTCTTTTCATCCCAAACCCCCTCATCCTACCACTGACTGGAATAAGTATAGAAATGTTTACTTTCAATTTTATCAAAAGTAGTAAATTAATATATAAACTATCAAGTTATAATACTTGTCTTTGATTCATAATTTAGGACTTAATTAATCATCTTCAAAAACAAATTAAAGAGTATTTTATTTGATTCAATATCTAAATGTATCAACAAAAAAAAAATTAAACATGTACAATAAAACTTTAGAAGATAACAATATACAATAATATCCTGTAGAGAGATATAAATAAAGGAATGTAATAAAAATTTATTTATAAAATAAACTTCAATAACAAAAATAATATATAAATACATTTGGTTTTAATTATTCATGCAATGATCTAAATAAAAAAATCATAATTTATTTTGGCTTTAATTAATGCTAGGATAGTAAAAATTGGCTTGCTACAAGAATTAATTCACAATGATAAAATTATGAACTTAAAAAACAATATTCCACAACCATTCGATCAGTAATTTATAAACCTTACTAATAACTTTATAGTGAAATAACAATTATTAATTCTCACTTCATTCATTTTTAAAATCCAAATTTCCATCTTATTAATTTGAGCCGCTATCACAAAAGTTTTTTTCTTAAAAGATACTTCAATTCAACTAGGAAGAAAACAACAATGCTAGTTTCAAAATATTAAATAAAAAAAAAATCAGTCTTGAAGATAACTTTACTAACAACACCATATTAGTCATTAATACCAATTAGAACCAAAACCTTTTACGTACATAATTGTCATGATATTTTATTTCCTATAAATGTAGTAATTTTATAAATCTAACAACATATTAACTAATGAATTGATACTATAACCCATTCCAAAAATTAATTAATGTCTACTGAAATCAACTAATATGTTCCTTCTTCCATAAGTTCATTGAATATAAAACTATTTTAAAGTTTGGCTTTCAGCTCTTCTATTTTACTGCCAGCACGTTTTTGTAGTTCGGTAAGTTTAAGAGCCAAACCCATATTTCCTTGAATTTTTATTTTTCCTTGAAAAAAAGCTTTTTGTGGATTGATTTTACCAGAAATTAAATCAAAAACATCTTCATCATTCATTATAAAAGTAACATCAGGCTTATCTGAAAAACAAAACAATATAGTTGTAATATAAACTATACTTTACAAATATATGAACTAAGAAAATGAAATACTTTTAATTAAAAATAGTTAATTTTAATTAATGATTTTTAAATATCTCAGTTGGATAATAAAAACCATAAACAATGAGTGATTGAATAATGAACTATTATTATTATTATGATTACCTTTTCCATTATAGGTCACACTGCCCTTTCCAACTTTAGCATTTATAATCCACATCCCTTCTCTTCCTTGGGAATTTTTTACTTTAAAACAATATATACCTCTCACTTTTTCAATTAAATTCTGTTTGTCCTCTTGCATAGCACTTTCTAATATTTTAAATAATGGTGTCACCTTGAAAATTGAAGGGTCATCAACTGCACTGACTCTACTTAAGACAACATCATAATACCTGAGCACAATGAAAAAAATAATTAATTCCTTTAAACTGAATATAAAATAAAAATGTGTGCAAGGAAAAGGATTCCAAAAATAAAATAAGAAAATAGAACAAGGAATATGATAGCAAGTATTCTACACTCCCCATCAAAAGTATTGCAACATCCATAATTCTCGAAATTGTCTTGGTTTTGACCTTAATTCATACTTTGTTTATATTTATAGTAATATTATTTATTTAATGAGACATTAAGAATTAGACACATCATTGTTTTCACTGTTTACCAACAAACGATGGAATTTTGGGTTTATTCATTTCAAATTTCCTTTCAGTCCATATTTATCTTTCGATTGTCTCAAGCCTGTTCTCTCTTTTCTCTTTAATCTTGTTATAACAATTAATTTTATTCACAATCGATCATTTAAGGCACGATGATTCTGACCGAATCATCGCTCTCTCTGAAGAAGGCAAATCATTGCGTTACATCGCTAATAGCCTTGGGATCCACTATTCTTCCATTTCAAGGACCATAAAAAGGTACAGGGAGACTGGTAGTCATTCGAGGCGACCAATTTCAGAGTTTCTCAGGGTTACCAATCCCATAATTGTCAGCTTCATTAAAATGCCCGCACTTCCAAAGCGTAATTATACAGCTTCTTCCATTAAAAACTTGATCGCTGGGTGTTCGACAGAGTCAAACCTTAGCTCAAGAAGGCCAGTGAAAGGTCCTCTTCACACCACAAAACACTGCATAAAGAGATTGAGATTTGCAAGGGAACACCAATCTTGGACTGAGGAGGAATGGAAAAAAGTTTTATTCACTGATGAGACGAGAGTGGCCCTTAACAGACCAGATAGCTGTGAAAGAGATTGGAGAAGGGCTGGAGAACGATATAGTCAGTGCTGAACGTTTGAAATTGAGCTATTTGGGGAGGGGTTCATCATGTTCTAGGGCAGCATATCTTGGGAGGCACGTAACGAGTTAGTGCCAATCCAAGAAGGGGCCTTGAATGCTTTGAGGTACGTAGAAATGATTCTTCAAGATCATGTAGTGCCTTTGATGCCACGAAATGCGGTGGCCTAATCTTAAAATGGAGGTCGTTTTCAAAATCTACGGCTCCGGAAACATAAGAATACATCCTCATATGAAAAAAATCCGAAAAACTCAAAGAAATTGAAATGCGGTGGCCTAATCTTAAAATGGAGGTCGTTTTCAAAATCTACGACTCCGGAAACATAAGAATACACTCTTTTATGATAAAAATTCGAAACACTTAAAGAAATCGAAATGCGGTGGCCTAATCTTAAAATGGAGGTCGTTTTCAAAATCTACGGCTCCGGAAACATAAGAATACATCCTCATATGAAAAAAATCCGAAAAACTCAAAGAAATTGAAATGCGGTGGCCTAATCTTAAAATGGAGGTCGTTTTCAAAATCTACGGCTCCGGAAACATAAGAATACATCATCATATGAAACAAATCCGAAAAACTCAAATAAGCCGAAACGCGGTGGCCTAATCTTAAAATGGAGGTCATTTTCAAAATCTACAGCTCCGGAAACATAAAAATACACCCTCATATGAAAAATATCCGAAAAACTCAAATAAGTCGAAACGCGGTGGCCTAATCTTAAAATGAAGGTCGTTTTCAAAATCTACGGCTCCGGAAACATAAAAGTAGACCTTTATATTGGATAAATTCTAAAAACTTAAATAAGTCAAAACACAGTGGCGTAAACATAAAATGGATGTCATTTTCAAAATTTACTGATCGGGAAACATAAAAATACACCCACATATCGAATTTGTCAAAAAAAACTTAAATGATTCGAAACGCAGTCACGTAATCTTAAAATGGAGGTTATTTTCAAAACTAGGTACAGGACAGCATAATACTAGTCCCTAAGAAATCCGAATAGGTACAATAAATAGATATCCGTAAGTGAAAATTCTACTTAGGAGAGCATAATAGTAGACTTTCATATTGGAGGGAGGGAGGGGATGGCCATTATTTAAAAAAAAAATATAAAATTTACAAAAACTTAAAACATTAATTTGAAATGAAAACGGTTGAATTTGAATTGGAAAAGGTTTAATTTGAAATGGAAATGGTTGAATTGACTTGGAAAAAATAATTGAATATCACATAGAAATATCACACTGAAAAAATCTAAAATGTTAAAATAAATGGATATGCAACTGCGTAATCAAATTTTTTTTTGTATTTTTTAAAAGCTATGCCGTCGATAATATAGTAAGTGGCCTTCATTTCGAAAAAAATCGAAAATTGACAAAAATTCTAAAGTTGAATTTGAAATGGAAAAGGTTGAATTTGACTTGGAAAAGGTTGAATTTGAAATGGAAAAGGTTTAATTTGACTTGGAAAAGGTTGAATTTGATTTGGAAAAGGTTGAAATTGACTTGGAAATGCTATATAATTGAGGAATGTGTGTTTGTTGTCTCAACCCAACCTGAGAATTAATTATTGTATTCAGAAACTGTTTTTTTTTTTTTACTTTTCAAGGAAAACTTAACCTTACAATATATATAATAATAATAATAATAATAAAAGGGTTAGTGAACCCGAAGGTTCGATGCCGACACCACCAATTGCTTATTATACACCACCCTCCACCGTTCGCCATCCAAACCTAGTCCCTTCAGATCGGTTTTAATGCAATCTTCCCAGCTTCGCTTCGATCTGCTCCTCGGACGTTTACGAGTCGGTAGAGCAATATATATATAAACCATTATTGATAAAATCCTTGAAGTTACAAAAATGTGATGCGCAATTGGGCATTCTGAAATCGAACAGCATTGTCAGAAAAAGAGCCCTTGGCAACATAATATCGATCAAATCTAAGTTACAAAACCATAATGCACAATTGAGCATTCTGAAATTGGACAGAATTTTAGTAATAAGAGCCCTCGACAACATAATAATGGACCCTAATATCGATCAAATCCTAAAAGTTAAAAAAAACGTGATGTGCAATTGTGCATTCTGAAACCGGTCAGCATTTTCATAAAAAGACCTCCCGACAACATAATAATGGATTGCGCAAACCGAGAATTAATAGTATTTTAATATATGAAGTGCCCTCTCCCCTCTCCATTCAACATAACAGTAGGCCTTTATTTAATGTATTGAAAACTCTATTTTAAAAAACTAAATACAATTTCATTATCATAAACAAGAACATATGGAATGATTTATCGTTGAATAATGGTTATTCAGTGAATTTTTTTTCAGTGGTTAGGTTATTGGTTATTGAATAACAAATAAATAAAATATTATTTTTAGTGATTGAAATAAAAATAAATTTATATTCATTATTATTTATTCGCTATTGAGAAAGTTGCTGGAATTTCGTTGTATTGTGAAATTTATGAATTATATATGAACTACCAAATAAATAAATTAAATAACGATCCTAACTTTTTAGTTACTATAGAGATGTTTTATTGATTTTTATTAAAACCTTTAAAAAATAAGGTATTATACAGTTCATAATAATTTAATCAACATCAAGAGAGTAACAACATGGTAGGTATTAACTAAAAATTAAATGTTACTTTTGATAATAAATAAAAATATTTATAAACAATTGGAGTGTATAACACTCTCCCTATTTCTTTCAGGAAGATAGATCTTTTATTTGATCTTTGAAGTGTGGCTTCCTTCTCCTTAGTCGGGGCTATTAGTTGGCTAAGGCTCCACTGGGGTAGAGTTGAATACAGTACTGATCAACAGCTCAAACTCCATTGTATTTAAAGGACTATATTAAAAAATAAAGAGGGAAGAGTGTGACAGATGATAATTGTTTCCAACTTTTTGTATTTAAATGCCATGTTATTTATTTATTATCACACATTTGCCCTTTAGTTAATGCAGACTATGTAGATTTGTTCTTGCTGTTTTTTGAAGCCCTAAAAACCATCATCAATTCATCTGTCACAATGCATAACATTGTAGCAGATGATATATTTCCAAGAATAAATATTTAAGAATTCAAATATAATAGAAAAATGGAAGTTCATCATTTTCTGTACACTACTAGTTAATAGACAAATATACTATGCTACATTGATAGAGCAAGTAAACCTACCTTCTATCAGAAGGAAAACCTAGTTTGTATAAGGCCACAACAACAGCTCCCCCTAATCCTATATTATGCTGAAGAGCTAATTTAGCATCTTTAACTTGTCTAGCTGCAGCCTCCCCCCTCAACTGCCAACATAATTCAGCACACTGGGCAATACCTGCAAAAAAAATTAAGTATGGTTATTCAAAAAGTAGGCGAATAACTATGAGATCTAGATCTAAAAATTTTAACTATCCATCAGTATATGGTAAAATATTATATAATATCAAACTAAAAAATTAAAACAAGGGAAATTTCCACATTTTTTAAAATTATTTAATCAATATTATTTTTAAAAGTCTAAAAAGAATTGATTATATCGTCGGCAACATGCTAAAGTAACGAATCATAACCTGTTTAACATTGAACATTCATTACTTTAATATGGTGTCGACTATATGTACTTTAATCATAAAAAAAAAATTGTTAATGAATTAAAGCCTGTTTTACCGAAATTACCTTGACAGAAGAATGTATTATAAATTAGTCTTTTTGTCATAAGGTACTATTATAGTAATACTACAGTAACTTTCAAGATACAGTTAAAACAGGAGGCAAATAGTTAATACTGAATTATATATATTTTTAAAATGATACTTCATTATATAGAAAAATAAAAAAAAACTTGAACTTTTTAATTTATCAGAAACCCTTATTGCTGGTGTGTGTTTATTATATGTATGTATGTATGTACACTTATATGTAAGTTAGCATTATATAAGATAATTTTGTTTTAAGATATATTGACATGTGATCGATTATTATTCTTATCATATATTATTATATGAGTATATTATTATTATGCTTAACCTGAAATAAAGTGATAAAATCTCATTGTTTAACATTGATCATCTCTTTCTTATATTATTAATCATAATTGGTGCTGAAACTACGAAAATTGCTTCAACAACACTTAAGCACTTGGCTGGTGCGAAATTTGAAACTGTGAGTACCAATTTCATACAAACTATTAGTGGAAGTACATAAATATGGGAGAAGCAAAGCAGATAAAGAAGTTTAAGCATCAGTTGGCTCAGGCGGTCTCGGAACTATCAAAGTTAGAAGCTCAATTATCTACCGCGACAGAGACGACGCAATTAGATTAGAACACAAAATTCTACTTTCATATATGAAGTAATCGGTCAGTTGGGAGTCATTTACTGGAATAGTAGGGGGCCTTGAACATTTTATTAAGGAAGCAGACCAAATTAAAGCCGATAGTATCCTGGCATGAAGCTGGCATATTAATAGAGTCTGATGAGAAACTACTTGAAGCATCCTTAGTCGGGTGTATCTCGAGACGAGTGTTAAACGCCATCCAAGGAAATCTAACATGTTCCTGGGACTCTTTGAAAGTGAGACTAAAGAAACTATATGGTGAAGGAAGATGGACCCCAGAAGATGTGTTTAATCTATTTAAAGAACGACAGAATCTGGGCCAATCAGAAGATGTTTTCGCAGAAAAGCTCCTAATTCAATACAATAAATTGGCAGAAACCTATGGCCAAGCGGAGGGAGCACAGAACTAAAATTTTTGAAAGGAATTTTGAAGGTGCGACTGAATCATCATGTGGATCGTCCCGAATCACTGCGAAGGGATTGAGATTTTATTGAGTGTACACATGACCCTCGTAGATTCTAAGGAACAGGAAGAAATGCGCTTCAAAAAACAGGACACAGATTGGATAGAAGTGAAATTACCGAGGATGAAATACAGAAGTTCGTCCAGACAGGTCAATAAAAAAAAACATTTGAGAGACGAACAAGTAGGTTCCCTGATGAGAGAAGGAGTAAACCAGAACAACGTTGTTATGAATGCAACAACACTGGATACATAGCAGCCCGGTGCAACCTTACGAGATGTTTTGAATGCGGCAGGTGAGGGCATCAAGCCAGGGAATGTCCAAAGCGAAACTATCGCTCGAATAAGAGGGTACCACAATGGGAGGCAATCAAGGTTACTAACCAGGACTACAGCAACCAGAGGTCCTATACCAGCGGAGAATCGTCAAAGGAGGAGAGTTCCTGTTCTGAGCGCATTGGCGAATTCGGTTTCAAATTATCCCGAGAAAAATATAAATTTGGGCTAAAGGAAATTAAATTTTTGGGACATGTAGTCCAACCTGATCAGGAAGTGTAAAAGGTATTTGACAGGCACCATTACCCAAGAATACTCGCGGAATTTGTTGTTTTCTAGGAATGGTTAACTATTATCGGAAATTCATTCCAGGAATAGCAGAAATAATTCACCCGTTAACAGAAATATTAAAGAAAGGAAGGAGGTTTAAACTTCGGCCAGAGCAATTGTCGAGTATTCAGAAATGTCGTGAAATTCTGACCACTTGTCCCCTGTTAGCTTTTTCTGATTTCCACAGGTCATTTAAAGTCACCAGATGCGATAGAAATTGCAATTGGGGTAGTGTTGTCACAGAATTACGAAATAGGGGAAAAACCGATATCCTACGCAAGCCGAAAGTTAAGTAATGCCGAACGTCGGTACAGCGCACAAATTATTAGCAGTAGTTTGGACAATGGAATACTTTTGTCCCTACATATACGGAAGATGGTTTGAGCTAGTCACTGATCACAAATATTAAAGAGGAAATAAAATCAAATAAAAATAATGAATACTAAAATTAATGTAATTTATGAAATTATAGCTAAATGACTGAATACCCAATTAGAATAATTATTTTAAATACACTATTCACAATTATAAAATATTGTACCAAACATACTTACACACACACGCACACTATAAATGCATATACACATATTTTAGAAATTCACACACACATAATAAATGCATATACAGGTATTTTAGAAATTCTACAAGTTTTTCAAACAAAAATGCAACTGCACTCAAACATAAAAATTGTTAGAAATAATTTATTTACTTAAAAACTATATTAAATATTCTTAACAACTGCATTATTTGGACAGAAATATAATGTAAAATAGTTCTTTTAAATACTGTATAAATTAGAACTAAATCACAGTGAAAAATTAATACTCGCTATATTTACATGGTATTGAAACAAATATTAAGTAATTAGAATGTAAACAAAATGAACCTACCAGTAGCACCTAAAGGATGTCCTTTTGATATTAAGCCACCACTTGGATTTACAACATGGCGACCTCCATAAGTATTATTTCCTGAATCAATGAATTCACTGGCTTTTCCTGGAGGGCAAAGCCCCAGAGCTTCATAAGTAATCAGTTCATTTGCAGAAAAACAATCATGAAGCTCCACTACATCAATATCACAAGGGCGGTAACCAGTTTTCTTAAAAAGTTTGTCAGCAGCTGTTTTCGTCATGTCATATCCAACCTAAATTAATTAAAAACTGTCATGAAATAAAATTAAGCAAAAAAATTAAATAATTTATGTTTTGTAAGAGAGGCACTAAAGAGATATTAATACTAGGCCACTATGGCTGAGTAGTATCTAATAATTTTCTTTTATTGTCAGATGTGTGACCATTAAGAATTCAGAAGAGGAGATACATATTCAGGCTCCAAGATACTGAAATCAGTATCACTGTAGAAAGGGTCAATTATTCTTCAAGTGCCAAATGGAATGACTAGAATCTTGCTGTAAGTCAGAGACTAGAGAACAGTGGCATAAAAGATCGATCAACCTTACGAAACCTTGTTTTGGTCAAGGTCTACCTCAAGCTGCAGTGCCAGGGAAGAAGGTTCAAAATTTGAGGCATAAACAAATATTCTACCAAAAGTTGTCTAAAATTCAATTTTTACTGTGGTATGTCTCCCTTTAAAGACCATGAAAATGATAGTGGGGTTTTATAAAATAAACACTTTGTCAGGTTTAAACCAATAAAAATAAAATAACTTTGCAAGATAGCGAGAAAAAAAAAGTAGGGACGGAAAATTTTTTTATAGAATAAGGAAAAAATTCAATTCCATAATAGAATTGACGGAAAAGAAAATTATATGAAAAGAGATGAAATGTTTTACTTTTAAAAATAATTGGACATAAAATGGGCGATGACTTAGAAATTTTGACAAGGATGTCTCCTGAAGATTTTAATTATATATTTAATAGTGTTAGTGCTATGGCTGAGAGATGAGGTATATTTAGAAAATCCATGTGTGCTGAATAATGCCAAGCTGACATGAAAAAAAAATTAAAAATAATAATTTTCTAGTCATATTTTTTAAGTTTAGTGCAATATTATTATTTATTATTTAAATTATTTGATTATTGGTCAAGTATAAAAAAAATATGTCATCAGAAAATAATAATAGCCATGAAACAAATTTACATCAAAAGCAGAACTGAGAGGAGCAGGCAGTATGGCCATGCTGTTCGCCCCAACCCCATTAAAATGAACGCCCCTAACTCATACACACTATGAGGCCATAATGGCCAAGTATGTTGAGACAAGAGTCCCGGAGTTCACAGTTCCTAATATTGTGGTTTGGGTTTGGGAAACAAGAAATATTAAACAAATATAATCGTCAATAAAAAAATATTTTTAAAATAAGGTTATAAAGATATGCTACACATTAATAAAATTATTTTACTCACAATTTTAATACAGCTTTTACCCTCAAATGTGGATGGAAGATCAGTAACCATTTCCATCCCAACAATTTCTACAGCCTTATCTTGAAGTCCATGACGAATAACAAATTCTTCATTAACCAATACAGCTGCAGCTGCTCCATCTGCAACAAATAAAGTATTATTCTAGCATGTTAGACCTTAAGAGTATAAGTTAAAATTTAAATTCTCATAGTTAGCATAAGAAAATGAGTTTTAGTTATTTTTAAAACAATAATGAGAAATATTTGCTACTATTTAAGAGCACGGTACTTATGTATAAATTTTATTTATTAAAATTCTAACCTGAAGTGGGACAACACTGAAGTTTTGTTAGTGGCCCAAAAACCTTTGGCGATTTTAATACTTCATCTAAAGTGTATTCCTCTTGAAACTGAGAGTATCTAAAAAAAAAAAAAATAAATAATAATTAAGTTACACATCAAAGCATAAAAATGGAAGGAGAAAGAAGGGCAGACAATAATGAGAGAGAGAATCAAAATTTAACTGATTTAACTTTAGCAACATGAAAATTCAACAATCATTTGAGAAATCTTAATTAAATCTCTAAATCTGGTAACATTACTTCCAAAAAGTCAATAAATATAGTACAGTTCTAAGACTTAGTTCCAAACAAATAATTATAAAATCCTTTTATAATCTTTCACTCGAATATATATAATATTCTCCCAACCCATCCCTCTTTAGTTAAGCCTGCAAGTGATCCTCAAGGTAGAATTTCAGGCTGGATCCTTTGTATAGTGTACACAACTGACATCATAAGTAATTTTAACACTTCTCTTATTCCATGCTTTTATTTACTGCAACCTAGGCTCTTCAATTATCTCAAGGGATACGCATATTACCCAGTTCTATACCAAGTTGAAGTGGCTCTATCCGTCCTACCGCCGTCAATATTTTCTGGCTACCTTCCTATACTGAGCCATTACAACACGCCAACCTGCCTATATTCTACAGATCCTACAATTCAAACGTTCCTTTCAATCCCGTCCCACCAGATCCCTTGCGTCCGACCTCTATCCTCCCCCTCACCGAACTGCTGTATTAGATAAATCCTTTTTAATACAAGTTGTCTCCCTCTGGAACTCTATACCTTCAGATATTCGACACACAAAATCGATATCCTTATTCAAATCTCTCCTCTTCCAACACCTAATCCATTCCCAATCCGATTGATCACGAAATGCACTTAAAAACCTCTAAGTACACCCAGATACTCTGATTATTTTGTAATTCACCGATATTTCATTCACTTAATTAATTTCTTTCTATATTTTATATTTACACGTATTTATATCTTTTCATCATTTATAACTTTATTGTACTCCGAATCAACCTGTAAATATTAAATAGTATTTCATGGATACACCAAAATATTGATATATAATTTGTATTTGTGATTTGTTCTAAAGGGACACTAGGTCCCAGAATAATAAAATTATTTTCATTTCATTAATTTCCTTGAAGAATGGTGCCAAAATAGGAATATAAAAATTAATTCCAACAAATCACTTAAACTTTATAATTAAAAATCAACCACATCAAGCCCTCCTATATTCCATGGAATAATATTAGGTTCGGAAGAACCATCATGCTACCCTGAATTTCATCAAACCCTCATACAAGATTTAAAAGACAAAAAGTTGTTTGATAAACTACTTCAAAAGTTATTTAACAGCCACTCTAATCTCATAATCGCCAACAAAGAAGCTCATTAACATAACTATTATCAGGATCATTTTAATCACATGGGGGCGAGTGTCACAGAATGCTTAGTTTTAAATGTTGCAGGTTTTATTTTCCAAATGGCTAAGTTAATATTTATTTTTTGGCTACTCCAAGAAATAAATTTTTTTCTTTTTCGATATAATATTAAGAGCAAAACTGTAATTAAATTAGTTTTCTTTACTGAACAAACAAATATCACTAATAAATATAATGACCATAATTTATACATATATTAAGAAATACTAACGGATTATTTTTGGAATGCTTATGATTTTTTACTGCAATTTTAGCTAAATGCTCAGCTGTTGTTCCATATTTCATCATGTGCTCCTTACCAGCATTACCAAACAGCTGTGCGGTAATAGGGCTTCCATCAATTTCTACAAGTTCAGCCATTGCACCCACATGTTTGTCCATTGGGTTGGTTCTATCGAGAAACTAAAATAATAATAGCAATAAATTATTATTACATTTTCTCATTAGGTTCTATAAGTTCGAAATTTATGCCATTTTATTTCAAGAATGTTTAGTTCAATATTTTTAATTATGTTTAGTTTTATTGGTATAATAAAATTTTATAAAAACAAAAAGAAAGAAATCTTACACAGTAATATACTTATGTATACTTTAATACATACATTAAGGATACATACTTAATGTTTATAAATCACCTAATATAATAGTGCGATTATTATGACAAAAACATAAAATTATTTTATTTTTTTAAGTGAAAGCAGTATTTATTTTTTTAAAAAAACCTTTGATGTTAATGAGCCTCTTTCCATCTTTTCAAATCCTAATGCAAGAACACAATCAGCTTGACCAGTTTCAACAATTTGTTTTGCCATCATCAAAGCAGTTGATCCAGTAGAGCAGTTGTTATTAACATTGTAGATAGGAATTCCAGTCATGCCAACTTCATACAGCGCTCTCTGGCCACAAGTGGAATCTCCTGGAATACAAATTATTTATATTACTTCACATAAAAATACATATATTTTACCTTAGCAATCATATTCATTTGAAAACTAACAATTAATAATCAGCTAGTTTTAAAACGGCAGTAAATATTTCAACATTTCACAGGAATATACATTTTACAATCAAGAAATGAAACATGAGGTGAAGAGGTGAAACAATATCATCAGATTAACAAACTGCTTGGAAATTTGCGGGTGTGCGAATTATGGAACTTGACAACTTGGAAGGAAAGTTCATTCCGTGATAGTCACTTATTGTTCAAATAAAATTTCTGTAATGAACAAAAAGATGCCTTCTTAAGTGACCTTTAGGGAGAAGAGGATGACAACAAAGAAATACCCACAATTTTTTTTAAGAGTTGTGAATAAACAAATTGACTGTGGTTATAAGGGATGACCTGGAACATTGGGAAGATATGGCAAAGACATTTCAATGACAAAACAGAAAGAAACAACTGTTTCTTCACTGTCGTGAATACACTCTTCCAGCATAAAGAAACGCATAAATACACAACAAAAGAGCCGTTGAGAATGAATAATCTACTATAAATAACATTTTGGACAAAAGAAAAAAGTTTGGGAACAATAACATGCTAGGAGTAAAAGAGAATTTGAGATCAGAAATGATCATAATCTTCTGTCCACAAACAAATCCTGAATAATGTGAACCCATGAAAAAGAAATAAGAGACTGAAGAAAAGAATCATCAAATCTTATCACTTCAAGCCAGATAAAATTGAGACTTATTTCCAATAAGTAGAATGAACAACCTTGGACCATAACAGACCCCAGTATTACAACATAGATGACAGGAGCTGTATACGTTTAAGGTAAATCCTCATCGATGCCTTGAAACTGTTATTCAGCGAGAAATGTTGGATCTGGTCTCAAAATAAGTGAAAAGTGATTCAAGGAAAAAATAAAATATAGAAGAACCACCTGGAACTAAGAACTTACACTGCTCATTAAGTGTCTAAGAATCAGAAGAATGAAACCAGATAAAAAGCAATCCAAGAAAATATAAAATCTAGGAATATTTTGGTCAAAAGCTCAAGAAAAATACAAAGAAAGATCTGAAAGTCTTCTATAACATTGTTAAAGGAACAAATATAGACTGATTTACTTTTCTGAAAGAAGCTGGTGTAATGAATCCAATCAGCTGGTAATGAGATCCACAGCATGACTGGGCCATAAAACAACCACATCAGTGAAAAACTCCATGAAGCCATTATCATTAAATAAGGCAAGACTGTAGAACTTAACAAAATCACTTCTGGAATGATTAATTACATGGATAGCAAAGGTTAAGAGATGTTCTCCCATCTTTAGAATCCAATTTGGGAAAAAAACCACAACTCATGAAGGGTCCTGGGCTCAGTACTACATAGAAAAGTTCTGTTTCTTGGTCAACAGTTGTGCAAGGAGGTGATTTGACCAAGATTAGGCTCAACCAGCAGGTTTCATCCCTTAATTAAAGGTATCCACTTTATGGAGGCTGGATGTACCTCAGGAGGGTCTCGACCCCAGTACCGATCCACAGCCGACGTAACAGAATAAATAATTTATCTGCCATAGGTCAGACTCGAACCTGGGACCTTGAGCATAGGAAGTTCGGCACCTGACCACTGACCTACCCCAATCCTGAATCTAATTTGGTAAGAAAAGGAAAATTCTTAAAGATTGGGAAATATCAATGGATCATGTTCATTTATATGAAAGGAGACAGTCGAGAGTATGGCAACAAATGGGGAATATTGTTTCTTAGGGTACCCAAAAAAAATTTACTGAAAAAACTTGAAAAAAGAGTGAGAAAAGTAGTTAATGGTCAGCTAGAAAAAAAAAAAAAAAAACAGTAAGGTTTCAAGGGACAGCGAACCACAAAAACCTGATCTTCACGATGTGACAAATACTGGATAAGACTGTGGAGAAGGGTAAAGAGCTTTCTGTCGGCTTCGTGGATCTCAAATGTGTTCATGACCAGGAACTACCACACAAGAATTAGAGAGATCAGGTATTTTCCAAGATTTTGATACAGTTCTACTTCTAATCATAAGAGTCTTAAACCTGGAGATATATCCTGATTAAAAATGAAATGCCAAAGAAGATTTAATGGGTCATCTACAAATCAATATTCTCCTTATCCTCTTAAACTCGTACGATTCGTGGACCTTCACCTCAAAAGACAAGTGCACATTTTAAAATATTTACTCAAATAAGTAAATATTTTAAAAATAATAGAAAGAGCCTTTTCTTAAAATGCTTAGTTTGACATAATTTCATATTTATGGTATTCATAGGAAGTAGAATTGTATGTTTTTTAATTAATAAAGGAATAAAATTCCCTTAGGAATTCACAGTTCAGGAGTTACTTTTGAAAGACCGAAAAAGGGCAACAATTTCTATGTTTTCGGGACAACCTCATACATCACAAGGAGAACTCAGGTGCAAACGTAATAAACTTTTTTATAAGATAATGAAGAGATTAAAACTATTTCCAGCTTTCTGAGGCTTGGTCTAACTATAAACCCTACATTGCCTCATCTCAACTCTTTGCAACGTAGTATGGGATAGAATCAAGAAAATAAGAGGAACAAGCTCTAATAGCAGATATTCCCTGATATGTGAAGGGAAACTGTGTGATAAGTGTCCAGATATAATAAGCTGACAGTTCGCAGAATATTATTTTTAAGTATATACTGAAGACTATACACATAGCACAGCTCAGCAATTGGACTTCTCTGGCACTAAGCAATTTCAAGACTATAACACTCCATTCATTATTTGGGAACTGCAATCAATACTGCAATATGTCAAGGGATCTTCACCTGGGCCAGACTACATACACTATTACACAACTACATACACCGCCATGTTACAACACCTTCCAGAAGCCATATTGAGCTGGCTATTGGGCTTTTACAACCATATCTGGATTAGCGATAACTTTCATACCACCTGGAATCAATTTATGTATCGATGTATCGACGTGATATCGATTTTAAAATCAGATCAAAATAAGCCCCATACATCCAGCTATCGACCATTTTTTCTGACCAGCTGCCTATGTAAGACAATGGAATGAATGGTGAACAAGAGGCTCACCTGGATCATAGAAAAATACCAGCTCATTCAAAACTTTAAAGTGGATTTCGAAAAGGAAGATCAACTATAGATCACGTAGTTTCAATGGAAGCTGAATTACAGTATGCTGTTGTTCAAGAATAGTAAGCAGTTGTTATTTTCTTCGACATGCACAAACTCTTTGATAAAACCAACAAATATCTAATTCTAAGAAAGTTACATTCGTTAGGATTTAAGAGGCAGTCTTCCCAAATTCATTCAAGTATTTTTTTCTCATCACTCTTTTCGCCTCCGCATTGGAACATCGTTGTCCATGCAACGAGAACAGAAGAGGGGGGGGGAGGGTGCCACAATGAAGTGTCCTATGTACAATCCTATTCACCTTGGCCATCTTGGATTAAATCTACCACTTGGAATAAAAGTAATGCTCTTTGTTGACCATTTCGCAACATGATACAGAGTAAAGGACATCCCTTTTATTAAAAAGAAACTCCAAGATACACACTATCGAATTGATAGTTGGTCTAAATCATCAAGATTGCAATTCTCCCCTGACAAAACAATATGTGTATACTTCATTATAATACGAAAAAAAATGCAACCAGCAGACTTTATCTAGAAGATGTTAAATTACCATACATTGACAACTGTAGATTCTTGAGGTTATTACTAGATATTGTCTGTCATAGGAACACCACATTAGATCATAGAAAGAAAAATGCGCTAGAAAACTTAAAATTTAACGGAACTAAGTGGAACAAGGAGGAGAGCAGACAGGACTACAATGCTAAAAGTGTATCGAGCGTTAATAGGTTCTAAGGTAGATTGTGGCAGGTTTATTTATAGCTCCACTTGTAAAAGTACTCTTGCCAAGCTCGACTCAATGCTGAGATTAATGCTATCGCAATGGCTCTACGACATGTGATAAGAGTGACCAGCTGTAAATGTGGTTGTAGTATCTGATTCATTGAGCGTCCTTAAAGCAATGAACAACATGTATATAGTATTTGAACAACCACGTAGGAATATATACTATTTTAGGGCTCAATTACGTTGGAAGATCAGTGCAGTTTCTATGGCTTCGTGGCCATTTAGTATAACAGGTATAACTGGGGATGAAATGGCTAACAGAGCAGCAAAAGAAGTTCTTACCCTTCCAGGACGTGGTAAAACCTTCTTAACTGCGTCCTAATTGGCGCGACCACTAAAAGAGCCCATATACCAAGATTGGCAGATAGTGTGGGAGAACAGCTCTCCAAACAAACTGAAGATCATAAAGACTGAAGTAAAACCATGGAGCAGTTCTAGTCACAATAAGCACAGATGAAGTCGTCCACACGTGACTCAGAATAGGACATACCAGGCTTACACATCTTCACTTAATCACTAAAGAAAACCCGACTATTTGTCGAAAATGTGGGGAGAGAATGACGGTATCCCTTGTCTTGCATCTTTTATCCTTGCATTGCATCCTTCTTGAAAGTTGCACCTTGGTATATCAGCAAGTACATTGACTGCTTTGAGAAAATAGAAAGAAGAAGTCTAGATTAAAGTCATCTTTTATCTCCGAAGAAGGAATTTTTAAAAATATCTGAAACCTTATCCCTATTATTTCGTTTCATCATTATTATTAATATTTATTTATTTTTTTTATCCATTACTATCAGATATAACTATAAATAAAATAAATAAACTTAATTAATGACGTCAACCTATAGGTTTTATGCCTTAACTCCACAACAACCTAAGAGTATTTTACAACCTCACTTGTATTTTACACATTTTTACTATCACTTACCTATAATTGTAATATTTAGTAAGAGAAAGTATAGCAATCACGAAAAGTTTTGAATCTGAGTTTTCAACAGAACGCACTGCCACAAAATGGTGTATCTTTATATATGGGCATCTTTTGAGAATCGAGATGGAATAACATCAAGTACATAAGGGATGTAAAGGTCATGATGTAAGGTTTTTGTTAGTAACATAATAAGGAGCACTGACTATTATACGGAGGACTTTAGACTGGAAGGATTGGATGCGTTTGATGTTCAGAAATTTAGTTGTCCCCCACAGCTCAAGTTCTTAGGTCCAGATGGGCTCCAGTATGGTATTGCATATCAATAGTTTGTTTTCAATTGATAGGCTGGATTTTCTATTAAGTAGTCTGTATAACTGGCCAAATCGTCGGTTAAGTTCTTGTCTTTTAAGTCTGGTATATGGGTTCTATGTAAGTCTTTTGTCTAAAAGGAATCCAAGATACCGAACTGTGTCTGAGACAGGAAGAGGTACAGAGTTGAAAAGGATAGGTGGACAGGATCTATGTCGAAGGGTAAAGGTGACATGCTTGCACTTAGATTCGTTGATTTTGATACACCAGTTGTTGCACCACTGCTCAATTAGGAAGATGTGTCTTTGTAGGTTTAAGGATAGCAAGATCTGACAGGATCAGCATTTGGCTTGATTTGGTCATAGTTGACCTTTTATTAAAGCTGGTTAGTCTGAGAATAATAAAAGATGAAAAAATATTAAAATATAATTGGCTTAGGCAATAAGAAACACCAGTAAAGTCAATTTTTTTAACATAAAATGTTTCAGGTTGAAATCAAGCGTCGTTTTTGATTAAACAGCTAACAATGACGGAAAACGTGCTGAAATAAAACATCTGGAGAATATATTTCTCTTTCTAAAATACTGATTACTTTTTAAAATATTGAAACAATTACATAGAAAATGCATTTAATCAGCGGAAAAGCGGTATTGGCGTAGGTACCTACACGCCTCTGCCACGTCATTCAGTACACATAAATGACATAGTTATAGTGCTATAATAACGTTTTTGATATATTATATTGATTGTATTGTATTTGATTATATATATTGAACGAACAAATATTAATGTAATCATTTAATTGTCCAAAAAATTAAACAGATTTTTTTTTTCTTTAAATATTACTTCCTTTATTCTATACGTAGGTCGTTTAAGAAGGCCTCTATTTTAAAAATAATATAATTATAATAATAAAACTTAATTCAAAAAGTAATAGAAGTCAATGACTAACCATACACATATCCGACGCAAGAACTCTTTATTTCATTTACTGTAACACAAGCATCATTCAAGGCTTTAGTGACAGCTTCTGTAGCAAGTTGGGGATAATCAATATCATCATTCCCAGGTTTGTAAAACTGCAACAGAAACAGAAACATATTTTTTTATTACAATTGATAAGAATTGATAAGAATGGTCAAACAATATCATTAAATTGTTTGTTACATGTTGAATATAAATAATTACATACTTAGGCTTTACTCAAAGTAAAAACATATTTTTAAGTGCCTAAAAAAATGAACCTCTAAAATGAAGTAATTAGGAGTTGGAAGTAGAAAATGTTAAGTCATCAACCATGTTTCAAGGTCATATTAGTTTTTTTTAATGTAGCACACAACATAAAGTAGATATTAATATATTTTCATATCAATAAAATATTAGGGGAGAAAAAATTAAATTTCAATGAATCAATCTATACCAAAATGTTGTAATAGTAATATATCAGAAAATACGCATTCATGAAAAAAGATTGGTCTACACTTGTCAAGATTGTATTGCTTTGCAGACTTATATAAGTAGATAAATGAGAAAAAATGCAGTTTGAGGTTTTTTTTTTTTTTTTAAAGAAAATTGCATCTCTCTTTCCTGGACCAATAAAGAACTTCAGAAATAAATCAAGAGTAAGGTTTTCAATAGTAATGACTATTGCTTCATTAATTTACCATCGAACAAAAGGGTGGGCTCGATGGTGTTAAGATTTCCAAGCTCCTATAAGGGAGCAGTCTTGAATCAAGTTTTACTTGGCAAAATTGACATTCTTTCAATATCACAAAATGTATCTTAACAATAGAACAGGATATCAATCACTAGACATTAGGGGGGCTAAGCTTATTTACCATGTAAACTTTAATGATGAGCACTGCATAAGAAATGTGATTTAGTGGATTAGGCCACCCCCCTCAGCAAAATAAAAAAGCCTTTCACTTAGTTAATACTTTAACTAACCATCAATATACATTTGCCTATGTTATCTAATTAATAATATAATAATATATCTATGTCTATATATATACATATTATACATGCTTATGAGCTAATGATTCTACATTCTTAAAGTCCTGGACAATAGTGACTTAACATAATTAGCCTAGAATTACAAAAAGTAAAGATCATATCAAAATTAAAATACTAAAAGTATATATATTTAAAAAAATTAAATAAAAATCAAAAAGTGTTAAGAATCACGAAATCAGTTATTTAAAATAAATTAGTTAGTATACCTTTGTCATACCAACTCCAACAACATAAACCTTAACTTTTGGATGAGCCATTGCGCTATGTATAAGCAGAACTTAAAATGAAGAAATGTGACAAACTAAAACAAAAGAAAACGAAAAAAAACTTTGAAGTACAATGACTTGCTTATTCTAAACTTGATAATCGCCAAAACACAATTAACAAGCTTACAAAGCAGTAAACTATCAATCATAAATGAACTGGTCATGCCAACGAAGATAAAAAACTCAGTACCAATGGAAGTATGAAAATTAAATTATATATATATATTCTTTAAATTATATATATACTAAGGTTTTTAAAACTTCAGTACTGAGATCAGATTTAATTTGCCAAAATTTGTTTACTTTGAATGATTTACGTTTAAGATATAATAGATAAAATAAAATTTACCATAAATGATTTGTTTTTATATATAAAAATATTGTTTGAAAACTAAGAATGATTTATTTGTTGCTTTGTAATTAGCCATTGATTGTGGTGATGTGAGCTTAATGAATGAAAATTAAAAATCAACTCATGTTAACGTTTAGCAGCTCTTCTTGCATGATGTTTACATTATGTTATAAGTGCACCGGTAATCGGCAGCAATTATGACGAAGTCTTCCCTGTTACCCCCAATATGTCACCCTCTTTACAAAAAACATCTGCCTGTTCTTTCTCTTATCTCCAGTCCTCGGACTGATTAATCGCCCCTATTAACGAGCTCCGCCTTCTTTAAAGGGTTTCTGACATTGGTATTTCTTTACGTCTATTCGGATAACCCATTGTCCGCCGATGTATCGTATTTTAACCCCTAATTTCTCTAACAGGTCGCAACCAATTATTCCACTGTATTCACCGGGCATCCTTTCGACGACATGAAATTACAACTCGTCCTCTTTGGCTGCCCATCTTCTAAATCCTATCGCTACCTCCCCTTCTACTTTATATGGACCGCACAAAGTGATTAGCTTGTAATTACATACCAGTACCTGGGTTATCCTCTCTCCTTCACACAACCTCTCTATCGTTCGACGATCCATTATTGTGTTATAACTGCCTATGTCAACTAGGCACCGCTCTCCACTCGCAATTCTGATAATCGGCAACTCACCACGCATGCTCTCTATATTGTTGGTTGCCCCTCTGCTTGCACTCCCCACATTCTTCATGTTGTAATCTCCTTTTTGCTGCCGTCCAGCGTTCTTTACCTCCTCTGATGTTTCTCCCTCCTTCAACTCCTCGGCTCCCTCGTTCGCTTGATTCTCCTTCCGTTTCTGAGGCTTCCGTAGACTCGATCGACTCTGGACTCGACTGTCTGGCAAATGTGTCCTTCGATTCCGCAATCGAAACACCTCGTACGGCACTTTTTCTCTTCCTTCCTCCAATTTTTCCTTTCCGTCCCGTGCCTTCTTTCTCCTGCTATTGCTCTCTCTCTCTCTCTGTTTCCTTTACTATGCCAATCCCCTCCAAGGCTGTCAGGGATATTGTCATAATAATTCTGCTTTAAGAGCTGGTGATAATTTATTGCTGTGGACTGTAAAATTAGAGGAGTTAATGGATTAAAGAAGTGAATATTTAAAATTGATTGCTATATTTTATTACATGTAATTTTATCCGAAGGTTAAATATAGGTGGGTTGGAATACTTGCATTTTCTCTTTTCTTCTAGTTGCCAGTCTTCTAGTTCATCTTCTGTCTCTTCCTTTCTTGGCCCCTTGCCGGCCGCTGTAGTTTTTTACTCCATATTTAGTAAACCAGTGGAATTACAAATTTTTAAACTGGCCAGTCTGGTAAATCTCTCACGCTACGTGAGTGTCTACGCTTCAACAATGGCGGCGTCACAATAACAACTGAGGTATATATGCAGTATGCTCGAGATAACAGCTGTGTTGTGGTTTCTTGATTAAATTCAAATTAAATTTAAATATGAATTTTGATGTGTTCCCTAAACACTCTCTCTTTCATCAAATTCCTTCTCTCTTCTCCACGCGACAGGCTTGACTTTAGTCCCACGGCGTCTCTTTATCCGCCTGTATGTGGTTCAGGATACCTCTTTTGACCCTGCACACAAGCGCTGCCCTAAGGGCATCCGCATCTCCGGCGTTGACGAGGTTCTCTTCGATCTTCGCATTGATTCTTGTCACAAGTCGATCTCCCCCTTTTAAAAAGTGATTTAGCTCACCTGTTTCTCCAGTGAAGCGCTCAAGATCGGATAAAGCCTTCCTCAGGTCCTGTGAAGTGGCTACCCTGATCTTCATCCATTCTATCGCATTTGCATGCGCCGCGGCTAAGGTTTCCTGCGGCAACGGAGGGATCTCTGGCACGTTCATGTTAGCCGGCTGCCTCAAGTCAAATTCAGGCATCCTCGTAACGGTTTTCCTCTGATTGAAAAAAAAACGTACCTCTGCACTCTCACCGTCCCGTGTTTCGGCACCAGTTAAGCGTAGCGGACTTAAAACACTTAAAAAAAGTAAAAGGTTCAAGGAATAAAACGCATGAAGTCGAAATCAAGACTGGTTTATTGTTCCTTATAATCCTCTATATATACATTCTGAGATAGTTTACATCAATGCTTTTGGTATTAACGCTAATACTGTACCACTCCGTAACTTAACTTATATATATGTGTGTATGGTGTAAAATAAAAGTGTTATTATTGTGTTAATTTTTGTCTATTTCAATTTCCATAAATATAAACACGAAGATAGATATTATCAATTTTCAGGTTATAAACTTTGACTGATAGCACTCCATGGCGACTGGCTAAGTCACAAGTAGCCTTTCATGGTTTCTCAATATATACTAGGTTGTTACATTCATTCAAGGCGATCTCTCTCAAGGATTTACAGCCGTTAACGGAGTCCAACAAGGAGACTCCCTTGCATGCCTATTATTTGACTTATGTTTGGAAAAAGCGGTCAGAGAGAATGAAATCCAGACAAGAGGAACCACCGTCAACCGCACAATTCAAATCCTTGGCTACGCAGATGATTTAAACATCATTGGAAGATCGAGAACGCCTGTAAAAGAGGCTTGAATTGCCCTTGAGTCATCTGCCAAAACAATGGGTCTTGTCGTGAACTCTCAGAAGACTAAATACATGACCGTTAACGAAATGAAGCCTACTAATGAAGTTATCGTGCAATTTGGATCCTATACATTTGAACGTATAAATGAATTTGTATATCTGGGATCCCAAGTAAACGAAAATAAAATCTTTCTATACTCGAAAGAAAGATTTGGGACGTATATACTAAGAGAGAACACAGCATGGTGAAGGCGAACAAACAACGAACTTTACTCCTTATTAAACGAAACAGATGTTGAAATAATAAAGCTTGGCAGGCTTCGATGGGCGGGTCAAGTGGCCAGGATGAACGCACAAGAAATTCTTCGTTGAAGAATTACACGGAAAAAGAGCAAAATACCGCTCCAAATTACAATGGGCTGATGGTGTAAATGAAGATTCGAGAAACCTGTTCGGTGTTCGAAGCTGGAGGACAGCAGCACTTGACCCAATTAGCTGGAGAAAGCTGCTTGAAGAGGCCAGGACTCACTGATGGGTTGTAGAGTCGATTGATGACGATGAGACTAGTTTTAGCAATAGCTATCAAAACTTCATTCTCTTTCCTTGTTCTTTAATATTATTGTGTAATAATTAGAATACATAATTATAATAAAAGGCTTAGAGAACCCGAAGGTTCGATGCCGACACAACCAATCAATCGCTTATTACACATCTCGCTCCATTGTTCGCTGTCCAAACCTAATCCCAATTTGGTCATTTCAATCATTAAGGTTCTGAAGTATTCCAGATTGCCTTCGGTAGGATTATTTAGAACTTTTAATTTTAGCGGGTTTTCTTTGTTCGCACATGTTTAAACAATCTTTATCACGCCACGGTTTGTTATTCTTATTTTCCTACACACGAGTTACCGACCGCTTTAATATTATCCCTGATCTCTACCTAACTTGTCAATATTCTCGCGGTCCTCGTCAGACAGCTCTAAAGCTTCAAACCTATTCTTAACATCTAGCTCGAATTGGGTTCTAATTCATGGATTTTTAAATTTTTCCAATTTGGAATTCTCAAAATCGAAACGGTTTTCTTTTCTCTTTTTTATATTAAGTTTTTGACGAAGTATATTTATGAATATCCTTATGTTTAAACGTACTTTTAATTATCAGGTTTTTCGAGATGGCAAAGTTTATCAGACGGATCCCATTATCATTACTATATTCGTGCAAACTTTCTTTATCAATCGTAGAAACATAAACTTCTTCCTTTCCCACCTTTGCGTTCGCATCACCTACAATTATTTTCATGGAATTTCGAGGTAGTTTATCATAAACCTATTCGAGTTTATAGTAAAATTCGCATTTGACTTCATCGTCGCTATCTTCGGTCGGACAATGTATGTTTCTTAATGCGATCTTAAACCAACGTCCCTGAAATATAGCTATCGAAATTCTTTCACTAAAGAATTGTACGTCTCTCAAAGCGGATAGCAATCTATTCCTAATTAGAAACCCGGTACCTAAACAATGATTCCCGCTTCCTCCGTAGCAAATAGTGTACTTTCCTTCCCTCATGAAGTCCTCCCCTGGCCAGGGAACTTCTTGCAGAGCCAGGACATCCAAATTGTACCCATTAACCTCATTTGCGACCGATTTTAAACGCCCTAATGTGTTTAAACTCCTTATGTTCCATGTAACAATATTTAAATCCCTATTTTTCAACTTGAGCCATGAATCCCCTAAAGCAGTCCCCGCCCGGAGACTCGAACTACATTACTATACCATTATTTTATTTATTAAATACATATCATTTATTTGTTTCTTTTCTTGGCTTCTTCCAAGTTATAGTAATTTATTTTTGTTATTAGTTATGATGGAAGTTATTTTCTGGACGTATTTATTAATAATTTTTAAATCTCCATTATTGTAATTTGATTATTTCCATTCATAAATGAATGTAGCCAGAGAAGAAAAACAATTGTTCTGATATATTATTCTGAGAGGGCAACTTGTTCCAGACAGAGTTTATTTAT